AGGTTGGCAGGAGCTGGGGCCAGAGACAGGAGCTCACTTCATTATGCGGCACTTGGGTCTTGAACTACTGAACTACTGACCTTCCGGTCTGCAGTTCAGCGTCTTAACCACTGAGCCACCACATACCAGCCTAAAGCTAGTAAATTGGTTGTTGGGTTTGTCACAGAAGCACAGTTCTACCAGGAGCATGCAGCTGCACATATAGTTACTGGCTTCCACGTTGGTTACAAGGGAATGCCTGGTATACCTCCTCATAATGTTATTAACAAGAAAAAGCTCACAGCACTGTCACTCAGTCTCGCTGAACGGGGACACGCAAAGCTTAACATTCACAACTTTTACTTCCTTTAACCTTATAACTCTGGAAAGCAAGTCGGGCTAGATGCTGATTTCTCAAGGCCCCTCAATGAGTTTCCTGGTCAAGCTGAACTAGTGCTCTGTCCCTGTTGACATTACTTAAGTATGCGGAACACCTCAGCTCCCTTCATCACTGCTGGTAGGAGGTGGTGGAATCAGAGGGAAAGGGTGTGTGTCTGTGTACGTGGGGATGCCGAGGGTGGAGGGGATACAAATCCCTAGGCCAGGAGTGGAGCAATGGGGCTGACATAGTGTCTTCTTTGAGCACACTATTCTGCATGAAGTTGCTCTCTCAAAACATCTTGGGCAGTTTCTAGCTAACCATAAACTATCACAAGGTTAGATACAGACTTTAGTGATGACCGTGCTGCTTATTACTTGAATGCTGAAAAGAAGACAACTGCAGGAACCTGGACAAAGGGTTAGAAAAGCATCTTGCCAGAGAAAGGGGATGTTCAAAACTGGATGGAGCTGTTTTGTTTTGTTTTTTACTACGGTTGCTAACATTAACACTCAGGTGCTTGCTAGGTCATGCCACACTCACATTTGGTATATGGGAACAGCACAATGTAAGCAACGTGTTGGATACACAAATGTGTGTTAGAGAAGAGAAAAATGTTAGAAAGGCATGAATGACAGTCTCAGCTGCACCGAAACTGAGAACAACTGTGCTGGGTGGAAGATATATTCTTGCAGGTCTCGAGTACCTGCACTCTTCCATGGCCTCCAATCTCTTTTCTTTTTGCCCCCAGGAAACCCTTCACCTTACTTGTGTCAAAAGACAACATTTACACACAAAATAACATATACAGTTATCAGGTTTCTTTCTCCATCAGAGAGTTCCAGACCATCAAAACTATACGGAGAAATTCAGGTAGAAACATGGACAAGGTCCACAAATCAGCAGCCAGAGACATATTAAAGTACAATCTATATTATCTCTATATTTTATTTGTCATATTTGCTTGTTTCCACAGAGCTGTATAACATCACAAAGACCAAAAGAGAGACAGTTCTCTCGTCTCCCAGTTCACATCAGTTATTACACAATAGGTACAAAACTAGGTAACTCTGTCTTATCGTACATTTTTTCCCCAGTCATTTATATACAAATCGCTAACACAACATGAAAAAATAGTAAAAAGCAAATTCCAGGGGATTTATAAATATATTACGTGATAAAAAAACCCCAAAAACTGAGAAGACTGAAAGAGGACTAAGCAAGGAGTACTCTGGCAGGACTGATGCAGATGTACGGATACTGCTGATCGACATTTAAGAACCTCTACGCAGAATGCAGGATCATTATTGGGCTGAGTGATCCAGCTCCTTGGGCCTATCCCTTTCCTTCACTGGAAAACAGCAAAAAAACTTAGTACTGGTGCCTTTATGGCTCTACTTTTTTTTTTTTTTAGCCACCCAACCAAGGAGTGCATTACACTTTTGGCTACTATTGGCCCTTGCGCTTGGTCTGAGGTGCTTATTCCAACTTCACACCATTATTTATGGGAAGCTTCAAGAATACTTCTGATCCTATGCACAAGTATATATTTATATATAGTATACATTTTTTAAAAAAATATATAAAAATATAGATATATATATAGAATTCCTCCCAGTGCTGAAACAACTGCTCAACAGCAGCATGGATCTCAGCCACATCTTCCACCCATCTCATACAAAAGTGGGCTCCCTGGGAAGACTTTATCATTAATAAGTGAAAAAAAAAGGTGTGTGCTGGAGATGGGCACAAAGAACTGGATACGGAAGGGAGACGCAGGCCTATGAAAACAGGTGTGGGTAGATGGACCAACATCTCTTCCTCCTCCTCCAAAATCACAAATTAGAAAGGTCAAACATGGAAATTAAAAGGTCATTTCAACAAAGGGCCCTTTGAAATCCATCCCCGTTTCATGAGGCTGTATGCCCAAGGACTGGATAGAAGTCTTTCCGCTGGCACAAAAGAACAATTTTATCTTCTCCCGCTACTGCAGGGATCTGGCCTGGCCCCACCCATGGGGTGTGCCCCCCTGGCAGAAAAAAAGTGGGCAGGTGCTCCTCCTGCCCCCACCCCACCACTCTGCAGGAAAGACAACACAGCTTGATGTGGGCAGGTCTTGTACTAAAGAAAGAGGGGAAATTCCCTGGCAAGTGGGGCTCAGGAAGCATCTCCCCTTAGCTGTAAAGGCCACAAGTCAAACCCTGGTCCCTTAACAGCTTAACAACTGGAGTGTCAGTAATCACAAGACAGTATGTGGGTTACATGGATTTTGTGTGTGGGCGTGTTTAAAGCAGCAACAGGATTTTAAAACCCAACCCACATGAATCTATTGCACTGGTCTAAAAGCAAAAGAAAAGGGGAGGGGGGGAAATGATTTCATATTTACAGAAACATGTTACTTTTAAACCTCTACTTCCTTCACTTCTGAGTACTCAATCCCTCTAGCTATTTTGAGCAGGAGATATGAATGGAGCTGTTGTGCTCCCGCCTCCCATCCAGTTTCTTCTGGAACGTACAGAGTGAAGTGCAAACCACAGCAGCAGCAGCACAGCCACCCCCCTCCGGGAAATACAGTCACAGGTCTTGCCAACCTGCCCAGCCCCACGCAGCAGCACTCTTGCCCAACCAGGCACAACTTGGATGAAGGGTGCCGCTACTGCCCTTGGCCACAACTGCTTGTGTGTATGAGAGAGAGAGAGAGACAGACAGAGAGAATATTAAGGCACAGAGAAAAGGAGCAAAAATCATTCCCTGCAAAATCCTCATTTCTGGACTCTCCCCAGAAGGGATCAAAGACACCTAAAGAGAACAAGTGCTTAATAATTACAACGAGTTGTGGTAGCAAGACAGTACAGCCACTTAGAACGGAACTAGCATTACTGGCAGTGAATGGGGAAGAGGAATCGAGAGAGAGAGGTGTGGGGGAAGGAAGAGGTCTAATGTTATTCCCCTTTGCTGCGGGCAGTGTTAATACAGGCACAATTAACCACAACTACAGCACAGAAATGCAATACATTGCACCACTGTATTGCTGTTTCCAGCTTTAAATCATCAGTGTACTGAAGTGTCAGGTAACTGGCAGGTATTTCAGCTTGTAAAGGGAGCTTAAGAGTCTGACATAGAGATGTTCTGTAAAGGCTGGGTCAGGCCTAATGGGAGACTACAAGAAAACCCATAGACATTTTTTACCACATGGGCTGTAGAGAATGCAGCAGCATAATAACAGGAGCACAATGAAGAGAGATGTTTCTTCCTGCTCTTGGTCAAACTGCAACATGCCCAGGATATGAGGGAGGGCGGAGGATAGGGAATGTCCATCCCGGGGGAACATTCAGCATATTCTACCCCAGCGACACTGGTGTAAAACTAAACTGTAACAAAAGGATAGAATATGGACAACAGCAAGAGAGATTGGGGTCCTTTGCAACAGATGTGCTAGAATTTAAAACACAAAGATGTAGACCTCCAACAGAGAGCCTGTGTAACACAAAAATTAATATGAAGCTGCGTTTGAAAATCCTCCAGCTCAAAAGAGAATACAAAAGGGAATGAAATTACAGGATTCTAAAACTTAATGTAGAAAAGCTTTATGACTGATCTGCACAGGAACTCTGTGCAGAGAAGCTAATCTGTCCATGCAGGTTCTCTGGTTACTGGATCAGTAATGCAATAGAAGGCAGGCCACCTCCGCTGTGGTCCCCCATCCACACTGCCCTGTACGGCTGAGGATGCACATTTTCATCCGCCTTGCCTTATGACTGGTATGGGCATTCTCATCCACTGACTGGGAGAGTGTGGCCATCTCTAGAGTGGCCTCCTGACTTCTCACCACAAACATGTTTTCTTCTGCTGTTGAGAAGGACTGTTTTCCAGAAAGCAGTGAGCTCTTCCGAGAACACAGTTCATCCCCAAACCCAGCCTCCACTTCAGTAAGAAAGAGGTCTGAGAGCTGCTCACTGTTTCAATTCAGAAATCTCTCTTCTCTCCCCTCCCCCAATTCTACTTCCCCTTTTGTACAGCAGAATATTGTTCCCTTCTGAGGAACCACCGTGGACCATTGGGGAAGGGCCATGGCTCAGAGTGGCAGAGCACCTGCTTGGCATGCAGAAGGCCCCAGGTCCAGTCCCTGGTATCTCCAGCTAGAATATAAGAAGGGTCGGGTAGCAAACCTTTACCTAAGACCCTGGAGAGCTGCTGCCAATCTAAGTAGACAACACTGTCCTTGATGGAACGATGATCTCACTCAGTATAAGGCAGCTCCACGGGTGACCATCCCAGAACACTGCTAAGGGGATTCTTGTCGAGAGACTAACAAAGTTCGTTTTAAGCCAATAACTGAATGTTCAGCCTGCACTCATACAGGAGAGTGGAAGTGCATTATAGCAGTACAGGTGGGGAAATAATTGGTTGCTTCCTTTTTCAGTCAGTTTTATTCCAGACAGCTAAAGCTAGTGAGTAATGATGCATTCTGTGTGTGGATACTGCGCAGCTCCTACCCTTGCCCTAAAACCCCCCCAGAAACAGTAGAAAAGAGCAAGAGTCCAGTAGCACCTTAAAGACTGACAAAATTTGTGGCAGGGGATGAGCTTTTGTGAGTCACTGCTCACTTCTTCAGGTATCTTTAGTCTTCAAGGTGCTACTGGACTCTTACTCTTTTCTATTGCGACAGACAGGCTAACACAGCTACCCAGCTTCAAAAAAACAGAAAGACCACCGAAAAGAAAACATGGTCCATCCTGAAATTTTGCTCCCTCCTCTTGCACCTGGTAGTCTTGGGGTTCTTTAAATTTTCCTTACGTAAAATGTGCTCCAGTTAAACCTTTACAGAAGAGTCTGGGACCAGAGAGTCCAAACCTCCTGCCTTAGCCAACATGGTCCATGCCCGCACCTGGCAACAGGAACAGCCCACTCCTGACTTCAGCACCATTTAAAAAGGGATATGACTTGTGTTGTTAATGGTTCAATAAATAAAGGTGGTGGTGGCATGCTTCATCAAGCTCCTCAGAACTCATCGTCTGAGCTCAGCAGCAGAGTCTTCTCATTGTCACGGGCGCCAGAGTTGCTATGGGAACGCGAGATGACGTGGCTGCCACTACGCCAGGGTGGTCCATGTTCCAGGGTGGACTGCTGGGTGTACTGCTGGTAGGCCGGGGAGAAATTGTGGATGGCATCCTGCACAATGTCATGGGGGTTCATGGTCTCCTTAAGGCTGCTGGAGATGCTCTTCATGGGGGCACAGCGACCTAAAGAGAGGAAAACAAAGCAGGTCAGGATACCTGGAGCAGAGTTCTACTCCCCCCCCCCCCAAGCTGGAACAATCACATGAAATATTAATGCACAACCGCCAGGTAACTTTTGCAAAAGATTAGCAAAAGTTAAAGGGAAAAGGGTAAACTTGTAAGGGTGAGAAACACATTCAGGAGAAAAGTGGTTTTAGGGAGTTTCAGTCCAGGTTAGGGGAAAGTGGGGAAAAAGAGGAGAAAAGGGGCAGAACAGGGGCCCAAAGAAGACCCTGAGAGCATGCTGGCAAAAGCAAGTGAAGAGAGAAGTAGCTCAGAATGAAACTCAAAGACACCTGGATAGGAAAGGGGTAGAGGAAGCACCACAGTTTTTTACAGGGCCCTCTTCATAAGGTGAAGAGGAAGCTTCAGATGCTGCTAAATTTATTTCCAACCGGCAATCTTCATACTTCAAAACACTCTGTGTTTAAATAACTGTGAAACCTGCCTTCGGGATAACACATTAATATGTTAATTTTAATAGTTTTTTTTTTTAGAAAGACAACCCCATACAAATACTGTCGCCCATGAGTTGAAGGCAGTGAGTCATAGAAGACACAAGCATGCACAGTGGACAAACGTCTCGGGCAGCTGCAAGTTTTGGTGACGTTTTCCTCAAAGTGACAGCTACTGCCACAAAGCCACTTTTGTTTTTTCAAAAAACCAGCATACCTCAATGGTCACTAAAACTTCTGAGGGACGCAAAAACTCCAAAGAATCCCCCCCCATCATTTTCATTGTGTTCCCAAATGTATGTTTATTACACAGAAGAGACCAGAGCAGGGGAGCTGGAAGAGCAATGGTTTCCCAACCAAGAGAAACAAATGCAGAGAGAGAGGATGGCACCTACCGTATGGCCCTGGCCCATATGACGGAACAGCTGCGCCAAACACCAGAGCCCAAAGCAGAGGAAAGAGGAGAGAGGGGAGGAAAAACAAGAGACAGTGAGAGAGAGGGGGGGGGAGGGGGAGAAAGAGAAGAGAAACATCAGGCTGAAAAAGCAGGTTACTCTTCGACTCTCCACCAACAACATTATGACAGCATGCCGCTCGACAGCAAACCTATCAGTGTAAGCTATTAAAAAAAATATCTAGAGGAGATCACAAGGCCCTCCCTTGCTTTCCCTCCCAAACCCCTAAAAGTGGATCCCAGGCTCATCTTGTCTCAGCACTGTGCTGGGCCCACTCCCATCCTCAAGCAAGAGGAAAGACAATCTCTATCAGGGGTGTTAAACATGCGGCCCGGGGGCTGGATCTGGCCCCCGGAGGGCTTCTATCAGACCCGTAGTGGAACTGGCTGTCTTCTGCTTCTTCTTCCAGTTTATTTATTTAATTTATATTCCACACTCCCCGCCTTGGCAGGCTCAGGGCGGCTGCTGCATCATTGTAGGTTTGCAGCTTACAGATACACACCTGAACAGCATACTCAAGATTGCAATAATTCAGAGCAAGAGGTGTCAGTTAAATAAACTGTTAAATAAACAAAATATTGCTAATGTTTTAAGCATGTTTTTATTTTAAGTTAAAAAACCTTTGTGTTTGTGTCCTTTATAAAGTTTATCTCTCCGCTACCTGGCATTACATTTTATGACACACATGGCCTGGCCCAACAAGGTCTCATTTATGTCAGATCCGGCCCTCATAACAAATGAGATCGACATCCCTGATCTATATGATCAAATTTTGACTACAATATTGGAGGGACTGGCCCTTACAGCAATATTTCGTGTGGAGAGGAGGGGAAACAATCTCCACCATCTCCCTTTCACTGTCAAAATGATCGCATTGCTCTGTAGTCATAATCTCCCAGGCCAAGATGCGGCTTCTCTGGTTCCTCTATCCACAAAATATCCCCATCTCCTCCCCTCATGCAAAAAGAACTGCCCCAGAGCTATATTCTCTTATCTCACCTAGTGAGATAGTCAAACAGGTAAGGATTTCTGTGCCTCCTTCATAAGTGGGGACGAAGGGAGCGGGCACTTATATAAGCACAACAAGGAAGCTGCTACGGCGCTCCCAAGAGAGTTTCACCGCCCACAGAAAACTGTCTCTCAGCTTTGTAATGGGTACAGCTGAGCCCATGGAATGGAAAACCAGATCAGAAGCAGAGCCGTAGAGGATGGGGTGACTCCACACTAGACCTTAAATCCTGGCTCAACCCTGTCCGCGAACTTACATTCTACACTACACTCGAGTTCCCCCCTGTAATTATCTCGGGGTATTTTTTGTTTCCACATTACATTGAGGTCACCCCGGTTTTGCCCCACACTTGTCCCGGGATAAACAGATGCTGTTATAACCAGGAATAAATGCAAGGTATTGTTTCACGAGTTGAACTCTGATAAAACCAGGGACGAGATCCAAATGCGGAAAGGACCAATAAGAGAGACTCTTCAGTAGCTGCCCACATGTGGAGCTCAGAGAAAGAAAGAACTCCTCTGGAATGGGCGCCCCCCTATCTCACCACAGGCCCTCGGGCTGTCCCGGCCTCCCTACCTTGTGCATCGAGACGCTTGTCTGCATAAACCTTGTGCGTGAAGGCATGACGCAGAGCAATGGCTGCAAAGAACATTTCCACGCAGATGATGAAATCCTGGTAGCCAGCTGCCACGGTTCCCTCGCCCACGGAGACATTGGCAGACTGGATCTTAGGGATGGCGCCACACTTCTCCAGAATGGCCAGCAGCATCCCTGAACAGAACAGAACAGGACTGGATAGTGAAAGCTGCAAGGGGAGGCAAAATAGTCTACAATGTCGCAAATTAATAGCTGCCTGCAAATGAGCCCGGACACCAGTGCTGAAGAATGCTGGTCTGGGACAAAAGGATACCTGCTGGCTGCCCTAAACTTCACAGTGTCTTCAAATTTACTATATTTCCTGCTCATTCCCCCCAGCAGGAAAATTCACTGAGCATCCTTGTTCAGCTCTTCTGCCACTTCCCCCCCCCACACTACACCCTTCCTACTAGTCCCTTCTCCTGACACCCTTCCTACTAGTCCCTTCTCCTGACACCATTTCATCGGCAACATGAGATAACTCAACTCATGTTGCATGGCTAACCTCTGAAACTAACATGCCACCATTTTTGTGTGAGAAAAAAACCCACTGCCTTGTCGTGGCTGGACTCTCACAATAGAGAACTATGGGTCTGTTATTAAAGGAACAGAACAGAGCACCATATGTGAATGTTAAGGGCAAGCACCGGACAAAAACAAAAATTAAAGCACAGTCTAAAGTTAGAACTCATGACCAACACGTATCAACTTCTTAAAAGATACAGTTCCACTGGTATCTTGCCAACGTTTGTAATGGTGCAAACTTAAGGCCAGCAAGCAAAATATTCCTATTGTGCATCATATGACAATTGCAGGTTTGTACCAGCAAAGGCTTTTTCTCACTTTCCTAGATGCTAACCAGAACAAACACCAGTGGACTCTGCATGTAGCTAACAATCTAGCAAGGATGCTGCAGTCACAGCATTTTCCAAAAGATGTGCAGTAATTTTCTAGAGCATTTCTTATCCTGCTTTTCTCCTCAATGGGGACTCAAAGCAGCTTGCAGAAAATACCAGTACAGGCAAGTATAGCATATATGCTTTGCTCTTCCAGGTGCATCTGTAGCCAGATGTGTCTGTGGATGCAGCAGCACCAAGACGGAGGAAGTGAATGAAAACAAAACTTGAGGTTCCAAATGGGACAGTTTGGACCAGCTGATCCTTAGCATTTCACATTCTCTAATGTACTACAAAGACTGAAGTAAAACTACTGATTTGTAATTCCAAATAAATAAATAAATAAACAATGTTGCATGATTTCAGACATGTCCCTGATCAAGAAAATCATACAATTCAAAAAAGATTCCCCTGTCACCTGATTGAACAAGTTATCTTATTAGAGCACAATGAGGTTGGTAGCAGGGTCAGGGACAGAAATGGATACTGAGGAAGGGAGTAAATAGAAATGGTATTGGAGGATGGAGCTTAAGCCCAGGACAGGTGACCACCCCACCCCACCCCACCCCACAAGATTTCTGTGTCTGCTAGGCATGCCCTCATCAGGTCTGAATAGTCTTCAAGGCCACCCCAGCCATACATCTGCATCCTGTGTACAGAGGGGATAAGCCAAGTGTCTCACCTTGCCAGAAGGACAGGAAAATGACAGACTTGACCATGAAGAATTTGAGGACAGGACTATAGGGACTGAGTAGTTCACGTGTGGCAAAATAAAAGAGGAATAGGGCGTAGAGTGCCAGGCTGACGGAAATATTATAAATGATTGTCACATACAGATACCCGCTTGTGACACTGTAAGAAAAGAAAACATGAATGATCTCTCAAATACTTTTAGTGCTTCCCCCCCCCCCAGCAGTGTTAGAGAATTTCTCTCTACCTGAACCATTTCTACCAATGCCATCATTTAATAGGGACCCAATGCCAAAAGGTACAGGTAGAAGCGATGGTACTATCAGTACAGCCCACTACAGCAGCCCCCATTCACAATACATGTAGTGCCTATTCAAGACCCCCTTCTGAGAACATGGTACCTGTGAGAAAAGCACGCCCATGTAAACATCAAGTTGTGCAAAAACACATGCAGAGTTTTCTAGAGCTTTTCCTGTGGCTACCATGTGTCTAAACAATTGCGCTAATCAACTTTTATTTCTGTTTCATCCCCCCCACCTCCAGGGTTTGGTACAGGTTATAATATTTCCCGAGTTTATCCTCACAATTACTTACAGCACCATGCTAATCAGAGTTAAAGGTAAAGGTTCCCTTGCTCGAAAGCCAGTCGAATCCGACTCTAGGGTTGTGGTGCTCATCTCCGTTTCAAAGCCGAAGAGCCCGCGCTGTCTGAAGACGTTTCCGTGGTCATGTGGCCGGTTACACCCTTCTAAACCCACTGATCTCAGAGGACTTCGAAAAGTCCTTTGGATGGCACTGTTAGTGTGGTGTGTCAGGCCTCGGGTTACTTGCTCAAGGTTACCCAGTGGGCTTCTCAACTGGACAAAGATTGGGCCCTGATCTCCAACACTTTGACTGTACCCTATTTTACTGATCTGATTGGCATCCCACTCCACCCCATGGTCCTAGACAGGCTTATAGCTGTTTCTATGAAACTTACTCAAAGTCACCATCCTGGTACTTGCCAAAAGCCTGAAGGATAACTGTAGTAATAGCCATGAGGGGCTTCACCACACAAAACTGCAGAGTAGCCTGGAAGAGACAGAAAAAGAAAGGCAGACGTGATGAGTATGAAAAGAAGAAATAAGAACACCTTCCCTCCTCCTCCTCTTCACCCTGGCCTGGGTGGCCCAGAGGAGCCTGATCTGGTCAGACCTCAGAAGCTAAGCAGGGCTGGCCCCTGGTTAGTCCTTGATGGGAGGCCTCCAAGGAATTCCAGGGTTGCTGTGCAGAGGCAGGCAGTGGCCAACCACATCTGTTCCCCTCTTGCCTTGAAAACCCCATATGGGGGGGCCACCTCAGCTGTGACTTGACAGCGCTTTCCAGCCCCACCCCTTCCCTCTTCAGGTTTCAATCTCTAGTCAGCTCCAACCCATCTGAGAACTACGAATGACTTTTTTTTTTAAAATCAGAATGACAATTTGTTCATGGGTAAGCTGAATTTAGAAGATCTTGGACAGGAGAGACAGGGTAAAAGGATGTGTAAAACACGGCTTCTTTTCTGTGATGAATATGTACTGCAGGACTTGGAGGCTGCTTACAACTCTTTCTGAAGTTGGGGATAGAGAAAGACAAGGCAGCAATATGCTCCACATTAAAAAAAAATTAAATATGTTTACACAACACACAGACACACACACACGACCACTGGGGGGAAATTATCTAGCTGTTTTACTGCAGACCAACACATCTACCCTCTGAAACGAATATCTAAATATAACAGCTGTTAGAATACCAAAAGGTGACCAGGTTTCTTCAAATGATTCACAATGTTGTTTAACATCACAGAGATGGGGCTACTCAGCCATTAAAACTCAATTCCATATCGCAGATTACTATTCTTTCACAAGTGGAAGACTCTGGTTAAGGAATTTGTGGTATAAAAATCTTTTTTATCACAATGTTCCTGCTTGCTTGCACCACTCAAACTTTGTTCTCACCTGCCTTGGGTCCCAAAAGGTTGGAAGAAAGGGACTGTAAATATTTTTAAATAAGCAAACATCCTAGTCAAATATTCAGTAGATCAGAGAAAAGGGTATATAGCCCATCACAGGAATAACCTTTCCTCCCAAGGGCTTAATCTTTATACAGTTTTTGCAGACATGAATAAGACAGGTTTTTGGTCAAGATAGTTTCTTGTAGTTATCACTTCCATTATTTTAATTATTTCTCAAATTATAGGGCATCAGATTCAAGAAGAATAAGAGCTCCTTAATAATCTTCTTTTACCTTCACACAAAGTAAAAAAGTTGGACCTTCGGTAAAAATTCGTGCTCAGGTGGTGAATCCCAATATTTTCCCCATTTTATGCTAAAGTTATTGACCCAGTTGTCTTCCAAAAATAAAATAAATGATAAACCTTGGACAGCAGATTCTCCAATTTTTAAATAAATTATAGCCTTAAAACCATTTTTGCTGATAACTCCCTAATCTAAGATTTTGCAAAACCACTGCACCTAAACTGAAGATACTAAAGCCATTGGGGTGCATGTTTTACCCTCATTTAGTACTTATTTGCTCCATATTTTAGTTGTCAGCCCTCAGTATCCCATGACGGATCATAATACTGTATTTGGAAACTTTGGAAATACCAAAAAACAAACAAACCATGACTTCTTTTGAAGATGACTTCCTGTCAATGAAGCAGCAATGTAGGCCAGAGAAATCAGAATGACTTGCAGATGCAAGTACGTTTTGTTCTTCATGGAGGCAGTCGTTTAAGACACACATGAGCACAGTCTGTATTAGAGATGGGCCTGAACCAGCTGACCAATTAAAGCTCATCATGAATTTTGGCCAATTCGGGGTTCACAAACCAAAGAACCGTTACGAACTACCACAAATTTTGATGCAATTCATGGTGGATCGGGATGATTCATGAAGAGCAGCTTTCTGATCTTCATGAGAAACAGCTGAGTGGCTGGGAGCTCCCTTCTGCTCAACTGTTTGCTTTAAATGGCTCAGAGCCATTTAAACCCTGCTTTCAGCTCCCCATGGCTTTTCACGGGAGCAGAAAATGGGTTTAAATGACTCTCAGCCATTTAAACCCCACTTTTAGCTCCCTGTGGCTTTTCATGGGAAGCAGAAAGCAAGGTAATTTAAATGATTCTGCTTCCTGCTTCCTGTGAAAAGCAGCAGGGAGCAGAATGAAGGGTTTAAATGGAAGGGGTGAAGCGCCTTTCAGGGGCACTTCACTCCCACCTTTCTGCTGGCTCTGGCTTGCCGCAGCCAGCGGAAAGATGGGAGGGAAGTCTCTTCCCGGGAGATCTACCCCACCTCTTTCTGCTGGTTGCTGTTTTTTGGGCTGTCTTCTGCAGCCCATTTAAAGTTAAAGGGACTGCACAAGACAACTCAAAACAGCTGAGCTCCCTGCCGCTTAGCTGTTTTTTTGGTTTTCTGCAAACCCCGTTAAAAGGGACTATGGTTTCTTTCAACGGGGTTTCCAGGGCCACGAACCACATGAACTGGTTCAGTTTGTAAATGAGCCTCCAGGTTCAGTTCGGGGTTCGGTTCATGGTTCAGCCATGAAGTATGAACCCAACCACATTGTCCCAGTTCATGCCCATCCCTAGTTAATATTATACAAAATTTACAAACTGGCAAGAAATAGGGGCTGCCACAGTGAGTCAAAAACTCCACTACTTTATTCATGCCACTGTTGTGGGTATTCAAGCTGGAACACATCCAGCTATTTCCCTTCCTATCTAGAACATTTGATCAGTTAACAATGCATGTTCCAAACAATAACCAGATTCTACACTTGTTCACACAACACAAGCATACAATTTCTTAATACAACAGTGAACGTTCCACTGAGAAGAAAAGGCTTGAATACCACAGAAATTAGGTTTATGGCAGTTTCTTAATCCATATAGACTACTCCAATCACAGAATGTGAGGATTCTAACCACAGAACTGGCAGGAAGAAGCAAAGGAGTCAGCATACCAATTCTACATTTCCAAGTATGAACTCTCCTATAACCTGCTATTTTGCCACAACCCAGAACTCCAAAGCGCAGGGGACTATGGCCTCCTTAGTCCACTCACTCCTTCGCAAGGTAAGACATCCCATATGCAGGACCTAGACTTACTACCATTCCACAAGGCCTGTAAAATTGGCTGAGGTGGCGGGCGTCCACCAAAATTTCACCTCCCCCCCCCTGAAGTTTACCATCTTTACATGGCCCAGATCAAGAAGATTTTAGAGACCAAATGACAACCAGCTTGAAATATATGTATATGAATAGTGTGACCTGCTTTTCAATCTATGTTGTTTTAAACTGTTTCAATTGTTCTGTAAATTATATTGATATGTATGAAATTTTTATTATATGTTTTAGATTTTGCTCTGTGATCCGCCCTGAGCCTGCTTGCAGGGAGGGTGGAATATAAATTGAAATAAATAAATAAAATACAGCAATACTATGTAATACTAGTACAGGACTCGCTACTGCATAGAAAATTAACCCAATAGCCAGGGAAGAGCCTTCACCAGCTGCAAAAGATGAGGATGACAGAAGTTAAACAATGGTCCTTAGCATGAAAATAGGGGTAGAAGAATGTCCTGGTTTTCAGTTCTGAGATGTTGGAGGGAACAATGACAGCTGATGGTGGCCTTGGATAGCTCAGGTTGGAAGAATGTTTTAGGTATGGAGTTTACTGCCTTAGTGTACAGGATGGACTAGGTCACCTGTAGGTTCAAATTCCTGCTCACCATAGAGGATGCTACCTTTATCCATTTACATTCCTAGGCAAAATATGAACTAGCCATTATGTTCAGAGAAGAAATAAAACAGCATATATACTCCGGGGTTCCAGCAGCAGTAATCTCCTTTCTGGTATGCACCCAAGCAGTAGGACTTGGTTTACAGTTATACAAAGGCAAGGAGAATGCCAAAGGGGGGGGAGAGAGAAAGATTGCTTGTGATAAGATGCTCTTGGATGGTGGTCATAAGACTTCAAGGAGATTAAAAACTCCAGCACAAGCCAGCTGATGAGTCATTGCCAAGATGTGAACTGGAAAAGGTCAAGCTAATTGTTAAACTATGCCTTTGAGCTTCCTCTTCTCCATTTTGGAAATCGTTTAATCATTTTCTTCTTCTTCTTCTTTTTGCAACACAACCCCACAACGCTTTTATTTTTAGACATTTCCTGGTGAAGAAAACGTTAAGACATACGGGAAGAGCCAGTGGGTGCAGGTGACCTAGACAGACAGCAGCTCTGTCACTGGGCAGAAATCGGGGGAAGGACAGACTGAGCAAAATCTGGAATGGAAACCGGCCATCTTCAGAGTCCTACATGATGTTCAAACTGCTGACCGGTTGCCTCAGGGTGGCACGTTTGCCTAAGGCAAACACAGTGCCAAGAGCGAGAGCCTTTGTAGGGAGGAAAGGGGAGGGGGAGAAAGAGCTCTCCGATCCTGTCAAACCTGTTGTTTCAACAACTGTTTCCAGAGAAACCCTTTGCCTAAGCAGATTAGCACATTCAGACACACGCTTTTTTTATGGCTACCTCCGTGGTAGCGGGAAGAGCTTGTCTTCTGGGTTGTAAACACTGGCAAAGGTTACAAACCGCTGCTCTCGACTCCTCTGCCTTCTTGAACACACTCAGCTCTGGGGCACAGAAAGCTGATGTCATTCTACACTGAAGGTCCCCCTCCAGTACTAAGTTTTACGGTGAACAGTTATTTACCATACACCCCAGGTCAAGCACCAGAAGATCTAGTAGCAGCGAGCCAAGTGATAGAAGCTTATGCAAAGTAGCAAAAATCAAAATACAAAACAACTTGATCTGGATAGTTAGGTGTGTGATGTTTTGCATGGACTTTCACTAGAAGTTAACTGACATGCTGAATCATTTTAACAATAAAAACAGATGTTAAAACAAAAATCATTAAGAACTGGGTGCCTACGAGTTCATTTTTCAATCATCCCATTGTCTTTGCACTCATTGGCAAAGAACAGTGGAAGCCAGATTTACTTCATTGCCAGCAATTGGTAAAAAATACTGCCTGCACATTTTTCTTCATTACCCCATTTGTAACAAGGCTATATATTTTAATTTTTTTAAAAAAAGTACACTGAAAATTCAATGAAAGGTTCAAGAAGCGTCTCTTGGGAGCCAACTGTTTTTAGGTGCCAGAAACACATTCAGATGTCAGGTGGAATAGATGGTCCCCCAGAAAGGAAGGAAACGGACCAAGCAGTAATTGCTTGACAGCAGACAAGCCTTCTCTGTTCCTAATGGCACCACTACTTTGGGAAGTGAACGGGTCATTAATTTTTACGACTCAATCCTATAGATAGATTTTACCAGGAATAATTTTCTCTGCTGTTTATGCAGAGCTGACTGCATAATTGATTCAAGTGTAATACCATGGGAGAGACTGCCTCTGAGCGTGGTTCTTCCTTGACTGCTTTCTTGTGCAAGCCCTCGCCACAAGGATCTCCTGGCTTGCCCATATGACTGGCATGTGACATTTTAATTGCATACAAGAACACAGAATGCAACACCCATTGTGAAGTACAAACACTCTGGACACAGGTGAGTCAGAAATCTACATTATCTTGATACGGACTTGAAAAAGAAGCCAATTGCTTGACTGCCTACATAGATTAAAAATAGTAGCAACAGCATTGGTGCCCTGTATCTCCAACCCCGCTTTCAAATAGGCAGTCAGGTTACACACCATTCTCTTACACAAGACGTACGTGAACCTTCTGACATAAATCCTCTTATTCCTAGAATCTACCTGAACGGAAGAATGTTCACTACCTTTTTGTAACCCAGCCACTAAGAGTGTTTCCCATCATACTTTCCCTTTCACACAGGCTCTCTCTGTGCCTCTTCATTTGTGCTTTGGCAATTTTTCACATTCAGCTTTTACTCAGGACTATCCCCTCCACAGCACCATTTCATGCTTGTTTATTTTTTTTAAAGGTATCTCAAATTTGCAAGGCTGAATATTTTTACCAAAGCGTGCAGGTGAAGATATATAATCTGAGTGCCTCAGAGTAATGCTGTTTTTCACATGGACATTCTCCAACTTTATTACAAAGAGAGGGTAACAGAGGGTAAGCATGAGAGCCAGCGTGGTATAGCGGTAAGAGTGTCAATGACCAGGGAGTTCTGGCTTTAAATCTCCTCTCAGCTGTGAAGTTCAACAGAGAATCCCGGAGTCCTCACACCCTCTCAGCCTACTGCGTACAGTTCTGGTCTAAAAAAAGACACTGCAGAGCTGGATAAAGTCAAGAGGAGGGCAGCCAAGATGATGAGGGGGCTGGAGCACCTTCCCTCTGAGGAAAGGCTGAAGAGTCTGGGACTTTTCAGCTTAGAAAAGAGACGACTAAGAGGGGGAATGATAGAGGTATATAAAATTATTCATGGGGTGGGGAGAGTTGACAAAAAAGATCCCCCCCCCCCAAGCATCCACTGAGGGCATCCACTGAAGCTGATGGGCAACAGATTCATGATGGACAAAAGGAAATACTTCTTTACGGAGAGAGTGATTAAAATGTGTAATCCACCACCAGAGGATGTAGTGATGGCCACAGGAATAAACAGCTTTGGGGTTAGATAGATTCATGGAGGATAGGTCTGTGGCTACTAGTCATGGGTAACTGAGGGGAGCAGGCTCTTTTTATGTTCTTATCACACAAGGTTGTTGTGAGGATAAAATAGGAGAGGGGACAATTCACATTGCCTTGCGCTCCTTGGTGGAAGGGAATGATCTCCATACTTTTGCCCTTTTACAGGAAGGCCATCAGAAAGCCAGTCAGACAGTGGGGGATGCACTTAAGAGGAGAAGCAATGGGTGAGACTGAGTACTACTTTTTACATAAATACCATAAAACCTGTAAAATGTCGGGATAGTCAAAAGAGGACATGGAATGCAGTGGAAACAGAACCAGCTAATCATGATAGAAAAGACAGCAGATCATGTGAAAAATTAGTAATGCAAGCATAGTAATGCAAGCATACAAAGTCATTTTACACTCCAAGTTAAACTCATACTACCACTGAGACAGTAAAGTGGCTAGAAACTGAGCTTTCCTTATGCTGGAGTTCTGGGTCCTATCTTTTGTAGTTTCTGCATTAACACTTTTCACAAACTTTTTTAAAAAATGAAACAGCACAGATTCTCTTATTGCAGAGCATGGCTATGGCTGAAAAGTGAAGCTGTAGGTTACATAAGCAGAGCAAGCGGGACTGTGCTTCACAATTTCCTGTTTTATAGTTCAAAAATATTTCTTCAAGCCTAGACGGTTAAGTGTAATTAGATAACTGTCTTCCATTTCTAGCACTGTCAAACAGTAACAACATTTTCAGAGGTAAAAGCAATTTGTATGATTGGTGTGAACTTTAACCCGAAATTTCTAGCTGACAAAGAAAGCGGCTTCCCTCCCAGGTAGACACTCTCCCAGGGGGAGAAATTTAATTGCCACTTTTATTGAATAAAATCTGGGCTGAGCTTTTGTTCCTCCTCTGTTGGGTGTGGCTAGAGGTGTGAGGCAAAAGGCTTTTGACCTGTGGCCTGGTCCCTGAGGCAACCAGGCCAGCATATCCAAACCACCCCAGAATATAATCCACTGTACTGTTCCTTTATCTGATCTGCATTTTTTTTTATTTTGGATCCCAACCAAGGGAAAAGAGGGAGGGTAAAAATACTTAATAAAATATAAAAATACTCTTACAGTCAGTGCTACCTTAAACCAGTCTTAATAGGCCTTTGCTTCAAAAGATCCCATGAGGAGAATTATTGCTGCAACTAGCTCAAAGATCAGATTCTTGCAGCCAATACCTGTTTGCAGAATCTCAGGAATCCAATGGAGTAGGTCTTCCCCCATAAACAACAAGTGCCGTACATACAGCTGGACCTAAAAGCAACAGAGCAGGACAGCCTATCAGAGAAAGTTAGGTTATCTTACGATGTAATAACAGTGCTATTATATTCCTTTTAGCCTTTGTGGAAAGGGGTTTTAAAATCCAGCTAACAAGCAAATTAAAAAAAACAAACAAAGCAAAAACAGGTATATGATTTAGAGCTTCCCCTTTCCATTACCACTTCCTTTCTCCAGGCCTCCAGCATCGTGGTCTAAGCCATCTCCAATAATATTAATGGCAATGCTCCCCACTCATTTTAACAGTGCAGACAGCATTCTCCATTTCTACCAGAGATATTGACCAGAAGAAAAAGTCAGCCCGTTTTTGATGCACCACAGAATACATAAAGTGCTTGGTGTACAGAAATAACAATGCTGGTTAATCTGAAAGTATGGCATCAGTGCCAAAAGGCAAGGACAAAAGACTAAATGGAGGCCGCGAGATAGTTGAGAGAACAAGAGCAAAACGGCTGTAAGTACAATTCATATACTATTAACATAATGGCCTGAACCACTCTGGTGCAATCAGTAGTAAGCACAAAAGACGGATCAGGCCATGCCTGCCTCACTGTTGAGTTTCCAGCGGCACAGGCAGAACAGGAGGGCAGGGCCACAGCTCCTTGGCAGGGGCAAGAAGGAGACACGGGGCTTAGCGCCAGCTCTAGATGTAAGGCCAGTGGTCAGTGCAACTTCAGAGCCAGGCTTCCTCTGAGTGGCAGAAGTGGGTGGCGAGCTGGCAATATTGTGGCTTCAAGCCCTGGCAGGCCGGAAACCAAAGCTGTGCCTCCACAGCCCAACAGCAGTCTCCTGGGGTCAGGCCAGGGGAAAGGCCAGAACAAAGTTGGCCACAAGGGGACACAGACCATTCCCAAGCCTTTCCCAGGGATGGGAGACAACAACTGGGATTGGCTGGTTGCCCATAAACCAGCGGAATGGGGAAGGACTTGCAGGGACTGCAAAGAGCTACTTAAGCTCCTCCTATTCAGAGCCAAGAAAGACACAGTTGGGTTTACTCCACAAAGCTAGCTCACAGAGAAGGGAAGAGAGACCTGATGGGAGGAGGTGGACCAGAGTGAAGATTCAACCCCCTCTTGTCCCAATCTGAGACCTCTGCAGGAATGGAAGGTGAACTTCATATGCCCTCTGGTGGCCTCATCTCCGAGGAGGCGGATGGGCAACACCTTTGCCCAACAACCCACCAGCCACAGATTGTTGCATGAGCTTCTCCTTCCTATCACTAGCGCAGGCCTACCTCCTCGTACCATGCTAACATGCTTGCTTGCACACCTGCTTCCATCAAAGTAGGAAAGATCGATATAAGTTATATAAGACAGTGTTGCATACTCACTCAATAGGCTTCCCCCTGATCTCTGACATGATAGAACTCTCCCCACCAAGGTACTCATAGCAGAGGCTAAGGAAGTTGTAGATTACAAAGGCTGCAAAAACAGAGCAAAACAAGAATTGCTCAATATACTTACAGTATTAACAAAGGAAAGAACTTGTCTAGACTGCATGGAAGAGAACCTCTACCTTGTTCCAGGGCTAAACTCGACAAGATGCTTATTTAAAAGAGCTTTCTGCCAGAATGGAGCTCCCATACATTTTGTATTACTAACCAGTTGATTTGGATTGGGGAAGAAAAAGGGTGTTGGTACTCATATGTTTTCCCATTGTACAAACAGCAATTCTCCATGAAGGGGAGAGAGAGTTTTGAGTTTAAGAAAATGGTGGCAGTGGGGGTGTGTGTGTTCCACCTCCACTCCCTCCAAGCCATGTCCCCAATCCAAATCTGGCTAAAATTCATGGCTACTATTCCAATTAAAAAATACTCTGGCAAGCCATTCATAGAACTCCCACCTTTCAATTTGGTCCTGAGTTCCAAAGAAATCACACATATCAGCTTTCCACTGGTGACCAACATCTTGTGAAGTTGCTATGGGCAGCTGCAGCTACAGGCCTGGTGCTGGGGAGCTTCCAAGGTGAAATTCACCCAATACCACTAGCCTGAGTCTATAAGAGGTCGGAGATCAAAACGAACCAATTTCTTGTAATGCAAAAATCTTCCAACTTCATTTAAGGACATTAGAAAAGAGAGCAAGTCAGTAGGCAGCTAAGTCACGTAGATTTAAAGATGTTCCACTGCAACTCTATCAGTGTCAGCCTAAGAATACCCTCTTGGAGTAAGCCCCACTGACTACACCTCAGTAAGATTTTGATTTGAATAGACCTGCTTAGGATTGCACTCTAAACTATTCTCAAGACATGCTAGATTTTCCAGACTGTGATCTCACTGCATGTAGTAAATTTCTGGAGATATGATTCTCTAAAAGAGATCAGTAAGGGTTGAAATTCTACACAGCTAAGTCCCACAGCTAAGTCCCACTCAGCTAAGAATGACTTACTTCTCAGTAAACATATACAGAATTAATTTGCATACAATTCATTTCCCATGAATCTTGTCTCACCAAATTTTTACCAAAATAGTTATGCAATATTCCGTTTGAACTTTGAGCCACTCTTCCACAACATACTCCAAGATTTGTTCAAAATTTTTCTGCATCTCAATTAAGACGCCGTTTCCATAAGCACAGTGCTCCCTAGTGTCATTCTGGGACACTGATAATGTACCACAGCAGACAGGGAAGTGCCCTTTAAAACTCCCCACAAAAAACAGCCACACAATGTCCTGGTACGTTTTCTGTTTACTTTGAAGGTCTCTCATCCAGACACTTACCAAGTACCAAAGTGCTAAACTTGATGGGACCCTCCTCAGTATGACCCTCTGGCTCTTTAGTCAGACTTTTTTTAAAAAAGAAGGATAATTTGTCACTTCAAATTTTTGTTCATCAAGCATGTGGGAATCTATACATGCTCCTAACCTATCTAGAATATCACAGTGTGGCTGGGCTTCAACCACGGTGGCCGTACACTAGGCTAGCTGTGAGCGTGCAAGTTCCTAGCAGGACTCTGAAACTGGATTCAGAAATATCCAGAACGCACCAAACAATTTCATATTCCAAACACCAATATTTGGAATAATTACCAATATTCAAATTGCGCTGGTTCTTATAGAAAGCAGGCTGAGCATGCCAGGGAAATAAGAGTGAAAAATATTCCTCAGACAGTTCAGCATTTGGGGGGGGGGGGGCCATGCAAGGACCTGACTGTCTAGTAACTGGTGTTGCTATGGTTTTACCAAGGGAGTGTCATAGGAGCACAGCCTGTGACTGATGCCTGTTGGCACTTATGCAATCCTGAAGCAGACAACAGAAAGTTCTTTCTCATTGGTCCTTTCCAATTTAAAAGGTGGACATAACTGCTTTATAATTTCTATACTGTTCTCTGTAGATTAATGCTCTGCATGCCAAAGCAGTCCACTCTTTCTATTTTGCCATGATTTTAGTGGGAAATTCCCCCCCCCTCGACTTTAATGGAATTTTGAATATTCAGACATAAAACTTTTAAAATCCAAAGGATCACAGTTTCAAATTCTGGTGCATTTTCCTTGTTCAGAACCTTCTCTCAGCCATTAACCTCTCCCCATTTGCACTGCATGGACAACAACAATGACCTGCCGTAAAGATTACTGAGATTACACTTTTTTCTATATGGTATACTAAAATTAAATTTACCATTACTTAGATTATAGTTATTCAAGGAAAGTGTATGTCCTCAAAAGACATAATCTAAGTTTAAAGTTATTCAAAATCCTTGTTATCCTTCTTCAAGTGCCAGAAGCAGAATGGTTGGCAGGAAGCAACAGGAAACAGATTGGCTGTTTATACTCAAGCCATCCTCTATGCTACTTTTAAGGGGGTAAAAAGGTAAAGGTAAAGGTTCCCTTGCTCGAAAGCCAGTCGAATCCGACTCTAGGGTTGCGGTGCTCATCTCCGTTTCAAAGCCGAAGAGCCAGCGCTGTCCGAAAACGTTTCCGTGGTCATGTGGCCGGCATGACTAAACACCAAGGCACACGGAACGCTGTTACCTTCCCACCGAAGTGGTACCTATTTATCTACTTGCAATTTCTTGCTTTCGAACTGCTAGGTTGGCAGGATTTAAGGGGGTAGCCACTGCTATTGAAAACTATATGGGAAAACCAGGAGCACGCTGTGAAAGATGTTTTACTTTGCCCCTATTTAGGCTCCAAATTTACACAGTGAAACCTGAATGTGTTGATTTATTTAAAGTATTCATGTATCTGCCTTTCTCCAGAGTAACTCCTGACTTAAAGCAGGTAACAATATAAAATACTATCAAACTGTGTACAGTCACAAAGGAAAAACAAACATTAAAACAATAAAGTAACCCTAAAACACATTAACACATCAATCTTTTTTTTTTTAAATCCTTATACTCAGGCTAGCAAGAGATTTCCCTTTGAATTCCTCTGAGTCACTTCACGCTCCACTGAAATGGATTCCTTAAAATGGTTACACTGAGGTCTTGCCTATTCACAAGATTTCTGAATGTCAGATTTATGTCCATTTATTCGTTTATTTTGGCTGGTTGACACAAACTGCTGAGTGACATATCCCTGGGCACTCTCACATGTGTTCAAATGCAAGTATAAAAAGCCCTCATGTAACTGATGGTATCATCTGGTCCTACTACTACTAAAAACAAAACCTGGAGTGTCTGCCAGCATCTCTAGATGAAGTCATTGAGGAGAAAGATGCTATCTCTGAAGGAAGACAGTAGCAGGAGAATGTTTTGGAAGTCTGAGGATCTACATTCAAAAGGTGAGTTTTTGCAGCAGACCTGTGCTAAGAGTTACAGGGAAAGTCCTCTTCTAACTTATCTTCAGTGGTCCAACAAACTTGATATTTGAAGTCCATCCCCCGCTGCTTTCTTTCCTGAGAGATGGGTCACTCTCAACTCCCCTGTAATGAGTTGCAGGAGTTCCACCAGAAGCTGCAGAGGTTCTGTTTTTGTGCAAAGGAATTGTCTTCTCAGCATGAGTCTTGTCTTTGTGATCCACTATCCTGAGGTAGCAGCCAAGATCTGAGTAAGTCCTTTCTTGCTCTGTGCTGCCCTCTTCTGTGAGGATCTTTCTTATGGCCCTTACTTCTAGATTCACTTTTCCATAGGCTTCTGGTAAAAACTCTTGCTGCCATATCACTCCTCTTCTGCATTTCAGAACAAAAAGGCAGCAAGACCCAGAAGGGAGAAGATATAATCACTGACTGTGAAAAATGATGAGAGCAAACAAATGGTCTTAACGTATACTGAAATGCTATTCTTACATTAACAACACAGGAGGCTTTCTTCCAATTCTTATCACAGGATTTGTATGGGACACAAGAAAATTAAATGCCTCTGCCTTATGAAGGAAGCTGCAATCACTGCAACGGCCTGTTAACTTCAAATATCCACAAAGTAAGCTCAGCTCCTTTGTGGGAGGAAAAACCAAATCACATTGGTCCCACCAGAAGGGCTCTTTCCCTGACCTTTAAAATAGGAAGGGTTAACTGGAGCAGGAACTGCCCTTTCCAAACGCTTGGAAAGGAGGAGATGAAATTAGAAGGGAAAAGAAGACAGACATACTCTCATCATCCTCAAGGAAGTATATTAATTATAGCAACAGTACCGTTGACATTTTCTCAGTGTAAGAAGATATTGAATTGCCAAAAAGGATTACTTCTTAAAACCTATTAAAAAATCACTAAATGGCACAGATTCCTGTTTAAAGCTTGCATTTATAAAAAGATGTACAAGAAAAAAGAGAGAGGGAGCGCGCACACACTTGCTCTGAAGCACTGGCTGATAACAAACTAGATTTAGGATTAAAAACTGGATATTCTGCTAACTTTTTTCTAAGGGTAGTTTTCCCAAGGGAAAAAACTCCCTTTTAACAAAGACAGATTCCCACCCTCTCCTGTTTCCTGCTTTTTCTAAGCTGTCCAATATAGACAACACAAGAGAGGAAGGGGGAGGGAATCAAACCCTCAGCATCATACAGCACATCAAGTGGGACAAACTTGTGAACTTTAGAATGTGGGCTGACCCTCTGAGCAGATGTTGTGATGTTTGCAAACTCCCTAGGCGAGGCAGAGGGGATAATAGCTGTTGCTAGGAGATGAGTTTCACAGAGCTGCGGGCGTCCTGCAGGGCCTTTGAATAAACACACACACAACAAGTGCAGGGAAAAGGGGGATGAACAAAAAACGGTCCCTGGATTGTCCATGCACACGCTTGCGCATCTGCCATCTGCTATCAAGTCCCAATGCATTGTCAAAGGCATGGAGGGCCCACTGATCCCTCAGTCAGTTCAAGTTGTCCATGTGTTACCACACCCCCTGTAGCATATATTGCGCTAGCACCATACAAGGCATAGAGCCATGAAGGCCAGCAGCAAATTAAGGCTACTGTGGTCTCTTACTTAGTACAGCTTGTTTCAAGAAAATAATACAAAGAAGTTACTTGCTATAGCCACAGTTCTTTGAATGCCCTTTAGCGTAGTCACACAGATGGGCCTGTGCCAGGAACCTTCAAATGTTTTGTTCACTGGGGAGCAGGGGTCATTTCGTAGAAAAAGAGCTAGGGGAACTCATTAGCATAACTCATTAGCATATGCCACACCCCCTGACATCAGGGGCCCGGCGGTGGACCTGCAAGGCCAGGAGTGCGAGGAAGCCCCGCCAAGGCCCTCCCTGGCCCCAGGCAGGCAGGGGTGGGGAGAGGCGGGGAGGAAGCAACTTACCCTCCCTCTTCTCCTGCCTCCTCCTGGCTGAATGAGGGCTGGAAGCGGGGCGGCCGGAAGCAGGGGGCGGGGCTTCGTCATGTGCCCCGCCCCTCTGCACCTCACCCGGGGGAACTGTGTTCCCCCGCATTCCCCCCCGAAATGACCTCTGCTGGGGAGAATTCAAGTTCCTATCTTAACTCATGAGATCTGCACCCACCAGATCAAGATAATATGAAATACTCTCCTGCCTAGGATGCCATTTGTTCTGCCACGGCTCCTGTGCCTTTAATACCTTGCACAGCCAGTCAAAATTCAGTAAATAAAGCTTTCTTTCCATGCCAGGAAAAGCTTCATTTGCTCAATTCCTGTTGGTCACGCGTATGTTAAAATCACAAGTAGTTTGCTGGGAATGGGAGGGGGAGTACAATCCCTACTTAGCTCCTTCAGTCCCTGAAGATACCCCATCTTACAAAAACTTCTTCTGAAGAGAAAGAGGTGTGTTGTGTAGTCTGTAGCATTCAAAGACATGGCTAGCAGAAATTAATCCCCTAACTTCTTTGTGATCTCTGTACAGTCTTGCAAACCAGAGATTAGAAAGCAGTTTCAAGCATGGAAGGTTTGAGGAACCACATGAATATAATTTTTAGAACTTGGAATGCTTGAGTGTACAAGTATACCGCAAGCTGAATAATTTAAGTACACAGGTAATGTGAATGTTGTTTGATACATTTGACCTGGAGAATAATTTCTGTACTTTACCAGTACTGGATGTTACAAAGAGCTAATCAGTGGTTTAAGAAAATATCATTATCAACCTAGGCAAGGCTCCAAAGAGTTATTACCCACTTTCAGGGGAGGGGGAGACACATGAAGGGATTTTTGGAGTAATATTCCAACCTTCACAGCAAGGCTCCCTGCTTCTGTCAATACTGCTGGCTCAGAAAATGATAGCAGAAGATGCCTGGACCAAAGATAGCAGGTAGCATAGAATACTAGAACTTCTGCCCATATGTTATCTTCTGAGTACCAAAAGCAATATTTGCTGTTATTTATTCAAAATAATTCCAGCAGAATAGAACAGTGGTCCCAGCAGTACCTTAAATACCAGCAAAATTTGTTCCAGCATAAGCTTTTGCAAGTTAGTGCATGAAATGCACTGGAGCATACACCCAGTAGGACCATGTTTTTATATTCACAACAGAAAGGGGTGGTAGGAGGGATTTTATAAAAAGACAATGGTTTAACAGAAGATCCAGTAAAGAGTAATCAATTCACTTAGTGTGGGTGAGGCTCAGGCCCGTAGCTAACATGGGGCCCACGGGGCCCGGCCCCCTTGTGTTTCTTCTGGGCCCCCTCCCTCCAGGGCTGCCCCCAAAGTGCTCCAACTTACCACCTGCACTGTACTTCCATTTAATTAGCTGGCGGCCCCCCCCCCAAGGCCCCCTCCCAAAGAATTCCCTAGCTACGGGGCTGGTGAGGCTACCTCCAACTGTTTGCAAGGAAAAGTAGGATTAACAAAATCTAGTGCAAGATAAGCAGATAAAAGAAGTTACAGAAGTATTGTTAAATAAAGTGACATTTGTGAAGAGGTGGGATATGCAAGATTATTATAAATCCTGTGATCATGTTGCTTCTGAACGTATAAGAGGACAAAGTCAGCATTAGGTTCATTGTATGGTCTCTTTCATGAAATTGTGCCTTAGTTGAGTGGTTCATAGTTGTAGAAGTGAAGTTGTTTTAGGTCAGAGGGCTGTCTGTAAGCAAGTAAAGCCCTGTCACTCAAGGCTTATGTGAGAGAAGTATAATTATCCAGGATACAGTGCAGGTCATGACTGATGTGTTGGGACTGGTTTGAGTTGCAGGTGACAACAAATGGTGTTCACATTGTTTTATATCTTTTGAACCTATCTTGCAGTAGACAATCTCTGGTTTTGTAGATCTTTTTTCAGTTGGAGGGGCCCCTTTGTTTATGGGCTAAGTTAAGACAGAAGTTATGGATTCCTTGGTTATGGAACCCAAAATCCAGTCATTATCTCACATCCATGAGTGAGTGTGTGTGGTCTTCTGAACATCTTCAACAGTACGCCAGAAGAAGCATAACCAGAAAACAGTATTTGGTGTATCTCAGATAATCTTTATAGTAACCTCAACACAGAGATAGAGATGAGAGGAAATGGTCCATTTAATATATTTCCAAGGAAGCATCTTCCAAAGATATGGGATCAGCAGTTGCATTGTTTTACTTTGATCTTATTTCTTGGCACAAAAGTCATCTTATGTATGGCCCACTCCATGTTTTGAGAGAGACTTTTCACATCAGTTTTGTAGTATTCTGCTGGCTGAGCCAATTATAAGTTCTCTTTTCTTACTGAAGAAAAACTATTGGCATAATCTTCTATATGATGCACCGGAGTTTTTCTTCTCTGCAAAAGTTCTTTAATTTTCATCTCTCTCTGGTGCTGATGTAGATATTTATTTTGTGGCAAATTTATTTCATCTGAACAACTTTCTCTTACTATGGGGGAAAAGCCTAGATTCAAATACAATTTTATCTTTGTTCATCTTCCCTTGGTCATGCTATACTGAACGAGAGAAACTGCCAGCAACCCAGCATATCATTCCATTATCGTTATAGTCTTCCTGGTGTACCTGATCACTTTCCCATCCTATAAGCATATAAACCTTAACCTTCAACTAGGACTTATACATAGAGTAACCATGAAAGGGTTTCTTTTCCATACTTTCAGGCTCACACAAAGTATTCTCTTCACTCAGCTTTGTTTCCATGCCCTCCAAAACCTTACCTTCATAGCAATCCCGCACAGTGCCAAAGTAAACATAGTACTGGTCATTGGTGAAGAAAAGGAGACTGAGCCATGAGTCAACAGCATAAATGGGCACAATGAACAGGATCCGGACAATGTAGCGCTGCTCATTGGGGCAACTGTAACAGCGCAGGTGCATGTAGATCTGGATGAGAAAAAGATGGACACTGGGATCAGAGACAGATCACAATGCAAAGTCCGAGGGAGGGAGGGAGGGAGAAACCAGGGAAAATTGAAAATGCAAAGTCAGGCACCACATTAAAGCTATTCTTCACTCTCATAGTCTCCTTAGAGACTATAAGCTAACTAAAAAAACTTGGTTTATGCATTCTCTAGAAACTCTACATCTGTTCATGTGGAATAATTATTGTACATTGAACTGCTTTTACAAATAACCTTACCTTACAAAGTAAATAACCGTATACACACACAACACACATATAAGAGAGAGAGAGTCTCAAATGAATGCTTAACAATTGGTTGTGTCCCATGAACAGCCAACACAGTGATATTCACAAAACCTTGCTCCAGATACTGTCCCCCCCAGCATGTTCCAAGACCTCTGAAAGTTGATACTCAAGGCTGCATGACTCATGTAGATGAAAATGTGGCAGCTGTGGAGAGGGGGAAACAGATAATATCAGCCTCCTTTTCCACCACTGGTGCAAGAGCTATTTCACCTGGTTTCCCCTCCTTACTGTAGACCCCAGGCAATGTGGCTGTATATTCACATGGGCCTCACAGCCTTCAGCATCAGATTTTCAGGGGCTGCTGGGGGAATGGATTGAAAGGAAAGATCCATATTCATAAGCATTTTCAGTTAAAATCCTTATAAAGCTGATCCAGGCTGAACTAAGAGTACATCAGAATGTCCAACATGAACAACGGCCAACTCTTGGTCTGGTACAACTTTGGCTAGTTAGCTATAGCAAAATACCTTCTCCCATTTTGGGCTTCGTTATAATGTCATTGTATCCAGCCAGTCATATGATACAGTGGAAAGATACTGAGCGTTTCATTTCTGGTGACTCCCAGGCTTCACAGTTAACCAAATAATTAGCTATGCATCGTTCATAAAAGTCAGGAAGGAAATACCACAGTCAGAGTAAGCTCAGGATACACATTAACCCAGCATCCCACGTTTGATCAGCCAATCCTGCCCATTCCATAATAGTTAGCAATGGAACTGATATAATGATAGTCTAAGAAAGGTCCTGCTGGATCACATCAAAACTACATCTGGTCCAACTTTCTTTCCCAAAAGTGCTGAAACAAATGGTTCTGGCAAGCTTACAAACAGGGCATGAAGCATTCCTCTGTACCCAGCTTCTGGTATACAGCGGTATTCTGCCTCTAAACACAAAGATTCCATAACTATCCAGGATAATATCCATGGATAGATCCATTCTCCATGAATTGTTCTCCTTTTAAAAGTCATTTAAACTAGTACCAATCAGCATTTGTTGTGGTAAAAAATTCTACAACACCTAAGAAGTAGTGGGGTCAGAATCCTGCTCACAATCCAAACAGCTTGCCACAGCTTAGATCCACCAGTAAATTTCCACAGATGGAAAGCGTCCTCATCTACAGAGTGCAATTTCCACACCTTCTACAGCACCCCCCCCCAAACTGCTGCTCCGGGGGGGGGGGGCGATCCCCCTGAACAGCATGAGGGGAGAAACTGGACGTCTGCAGCAGATGGGGGGGGGATTGGCAAAAATCACCAACACCTTCCACCTATGGAAACCTTCCAGTGGATCCAAGCCTATCACCATACACCAACAGCAACCAATGCTATTCTAGGGAACATGCTCTGAAATAGAAACGCTGATGAGATCTGTAATTGCTGCCTGAGTCAATGACAGGGAAGATGCTACTCTGACTCACAGAGGACTAATTCTCATTTGAATCTCACTCTGCCAGATGTTTCGACAACTAGCTAGCTTCTCTGACAGTCACTTATCTGTTCATTAACACATAGGAGCTAAACGTAGGTAGATCAATTGTATGGTTTGTATGAGTTACTCATCACATGGGGATACTAGCAGAATGCATTACAAAACAGGATGATACATTTGGCTTGTGTGAACCCAATGAAAGTATGGCAGACAAGCCTTGCACCACAAAAGCTGGAGCAGGAGAACAGAGAAGAGAGGACAGAAAATGTCCTTTTCTCTACAGAGGGCAGCTAGGTTTGCTGAAGTCATCTGTACAGAGAGTTCATCGTTAGGACAGACACCGTGGGCAGAAAACTTAACTGCTCAACAGTTGCTTATTCCTTGCCTTAAGAATCAGATGGAACTACGAAATGGAAAGAAAAAGCCAAGAGGTTATTATACCCCATGAATCAAGGCTCATCATCTTCTGCTTCGATTAATTAAATGTGCACCATTATTCAGTCAGCCAACTGAATTAATGTGAGAGAAGTAGGTGGTTCACATGCCTCTGAAGATGAAGTACTGATCACTACTTGGGATTATGGAATAAAAAGCCTTGGGCCTGGCATACCAGATTGTCTCTTGATATTAACAACATGACTGAAGGGGGCGGGGGGAGCTAGATCTTCCACAGCTTTGGCATTACTTTGCTTTTCCTTACATGTTGTTCACATGAACTCACCAATAAAATAAAGATCTGGGCACTCTAAGTGTATGGCAAGCAGAAGAAACTAAATTTGTGGGTAAACTTTCTGGCAGCCATAGTCTCCAGGAATTTCCCAACCTGAGTTGGCAACCCTATCTCCTCCCCAGCCAATAATCAACCTACCTTTATTTCCCATTCACTCTTCAGCTTTCCACCCCCCCTCACCTGCAGCCTTTACCGTGCTCTGAAGCCCTGACTGCTACGTCACATTGGCTGTCATACAGGGGCCATCTCAGCAGGATATAAGGTCACAGAGTCCACCATTTTCTCCAGGGGAACTGATCTCTGCCATCTGGAAAGCAGTTGTAATTCTGAGTAATTTTCAACCCTCACCTGGAGATTGGCAACAATGGTTTCTCCCAACAGGCACTAAGGGTACCTTCAGAACACATTTTACTTCAGAACAGCAAGAGCAAACTGTTTAGAATGTTAGAGTCAAAGGCCGAGGCCACATATGCAAATGACCTCTGTTCTCTGAGGCAAAGGCCAATCAGGCCACATATGCAAATAACCTCTGTGTTCTGACTGGCTATGGGGGGGAGAGGAACAGCAAACAGTTTAGAATGTTGGAGGCGAGACTCAGGCAATGCAGCCAGTGGATAGGGACAGCTTCTGAGTGACAGATCATGGAGCCAAGGCTGTGGGCGCCGTGAGGAATGTTCAGCAGTGTGCCACCACCAACAGAGAATTATTATATAGAGAGATAGTCCACCTTTCTCACTGAGACTCAAGATGGATTATGAAATAATGCAATGGAAATAATAAGACAAATACTCTGTGGGAAAACAGCCAAGTTGCCAATGAAAGTGCTTCCCACACCTATTACTCATTCATTGGGTTTCAGGACTACACCTTAAGTAAAAAAGTCATTCCAATACTGTCACCTAGGGGTTTGTTCAAAGATACAGTATCAAATGGCGGCCAAACAGGAAGGGTGATCAGCCAGGCATTATTTTTGTCACATGGAAATGGGGTACAGAAATTGCTCATACATGCAACAGGCAATAACATCACATAACAAGGATAGTGCTTTCCGCTGAAAGCGGGCTGCGCTATTCCTAATGCAACAGCCATTTCTGGCAGCAAGTTCCAACAATATTACAGCATCCAAGGATGCAACAGGGCAGAGCGGGACAGACTCAGTGAGTCTGAATGGCACAACCTGCCTAATCAATTTCTCTTCTCTCTTCTCAGGGCCTCACTTAGGCACCACTTTAACTTACTCCAAGTGGTTTCAGAAACAACAATCACAACAGCTTCATGCCCTAGTTGAAGATTCAGGATTAGCTTTTGAGAAGGTGTCCTTCAGGGATAGAGATGCAAAAATGCAAAGCCAGCAGGAACAAGAACACAGCACTATTCCAGCACCCAAGTACTTGCTTTACTTTCGCCATAGTCGAAGAAGCCTCACCCCAGAACATCAGGGAAGGTATCTTTACTGATATCATTTTTAAAAAAGCATTTTATTTATTTTACCTGATGGCAGGTGATGAGCAAAGCTGTCCACACAAAGAAACCTGAGATGGCCTGAGCAGCTGTTGTCATTAGGAATATCGGCTGTTCCACAGCAGTGGGCCTGCCATCCTCAGGCATCCCAGATAAATTGGAAGCTGTGGCGAGGGTGCTGGCTGTGGAGCCCAGTTCGGGCACCGACATGACTCCAGCCATTACCATCATCATGTCCGTGGACGCAGTCACCTACGAGCCGTGGGTCCTTCAAACCTGAAGGGGAAACATTAAAAAAATATCAACAACAACAAAATCAAAGTTAACAGTTAACAACCTACTGAAGTCGATTCACTCTTCTCATGGAGGCCCCAGAATGGTTTACAGGCATTTTTCAGACCCCATGATGTTATTTGTGTACTTGTGAATTACACATCAACATGGGGAGAAATTAGATAGATGGAGCTTTTGTCAGTCTCCCATAATACTAGAACTCAGGGGCACCGAATTCAGTTGGTGGGTAATAGGTGTGGGACAGACAAAAGGAGGATGACACAAAGCAGCAATACCAGTCTATTGTCTGTGGTCCGACTGAAGATTAGCTTACAAAGTATACGTAGGTTCCGTGAAGATATCACACTCATCAAGACATTCCTCAGGTGTCAAGCCTACAATTTCAGCCTGGTACCTTTTGCTTTGGATTTAAGAGTATCCATCATAGATTTTAGTAAGACATCTGAACTCTAGTAAAACCATTCAGTATTATGGACCTTTGACTATCACACAACAACTGAAGGTTCTTATGGTGCACATGGTCCTTTGTAGGAATGTGTGCATTTAGGAAGCACGTATATTATAGGTACAGCATATCCCATTTTTTAGGAATACTGACTCTTTGAAGTTTCTCATCTGGGTCTGAGCATCCTGATGGAATCAAATACAAAGCACAAAGGGAAAGGGAAACACACCCCAAACGTTTTAAGTTTTAAACATTTATCAAAGGTGGCTACATCAGCAGCTGTAGCATGTAGATAGCTTATGATCAAATGTTAAAGCCAACATTCATTACAAAATGGGAGCTATTGGAGAAGGCAATATATATATCAACACTGTGGATTTAAAATGCCAAGTAAATTATAAGAATTACACACAAGCACTAACAATTAAAAAACCATGGGCACTGAACATTTCTTTATGCAGTGTTTAAACACTATATGTGATTGCTGTAACTTGCTTTCCTCCTGCCTTGTAAGAGAGCAAATAAGGTGAAACACAGAGAGGGAAATAGCTGGACTCCTTTCAAAACAGATCTTTTTTATTGTTATGGATGGGATAGCAGCCACTGCTCAAGTTATATAACAATTTCTATTTGAGTTCTCTCCTTTTAAAACAACTTTCATTATTGAAACATCAACTCTCTGGAGCAAATTCTTTCATAGATTGTCTTTGCCCCATGGTGGACTTATTTAAAAGTGTTAGGGAAAAACAAAACTATTTTGAGAAGAAAATAAGTTATTTTTAATATGAGACAGGATCCCATTTATACTGTGCACAGCTCTCAAGTCCCCACAATCTAACTCAGTGGTTCCCAATCTTTTTGGTATGGTGAGTGACCCACAAGTCCAGATTTACTTGGTGTGGAGACCAATGTTCCCTCTAAGCTGTCAAGTCTTGTGAGCAGAAATTCTACGTTGTGAGCTACTGGCATTAAAATTGTGAGCAAGCAATTTGGCTACTGCATAAATTAGTTTGCTCTGGAGCTATCCTTCCTGAGCTAAGATGAAAAGGTGTGAGCTGGAGGCTAAAAAAATGTGAGCTAGCTCACACTAACTCAGCTTAGAGGGAACACTGGTGGAGACCCATCCAAGGCTGACCCAAGGTTTTTGGCACCCCAGGCCAACTATGACCTTGGCACCCATCTAGTTCAGCATTCAATTATCTACAGTGACTAACCAGATGTTTTGGAGAAACCAACAAACATCACACAAACAGCACAGCCACCCCCATTACGAACCCCAAGCAAGTGGTGTCCCAACACACACAGCCTTTGCTTATAGAGGCTCTGACTACCTCTCCCCCTCCACTGCACCCTCTAATCCCCCCTAAGATTCTATGAAACTGACTCTAGTAACCAGGACACATTTTACTTGATCAATATGCATAGGCAGTGAAGAAGAAATACCAAGTAATGTATGACATGAAAGCTACTGTTTCCACGTTCAGATCTTGGTTTTCCAAAATACAAATGAGAGCAATGGAAACGGTGGGGGGTGACTCTTAGGAAGGGCTGGCCTGCAACCCACTTTCAGAGGCTTTTGCAACCTACTTTTGGGTCCCAACCCAAAGGATGAGAAATACTGTTCTAACTCGCAACGCAGCCTTATAGGAGATGGGCTCCAATCCACCTCTAGTGTGTTTGCCTGCATTTCAAAAAAGTGTACTGTGACTCTTCTTGAGCTGGAAGTGACTTTCATCAATATAAATAAAACAGACGGATAAGAAAAACAACTGAGAAACTAGCAAAATTAGCAATGCAACCAGTGGCCTTTTTGTCCACAAACAGCCAAAAAAACAATGAGAAAATACAATCATCTTGGAAAAGCTTGTTGGAACAGGGTGGCCTGGCACAATTTATAGAACCTAACTAGGGTAGGCCATCTAGGCACCTGCTCTGGTAGGCTATTCTGGAGTGCTACCACCAAAAAGGCTAATCATATCAGTTCTGCCAACCTAGCAGTTCGAAAGCAAGAAATTGCAAGTAGATAAATAGGTACCACGTCAGTGGGAAGGTAACAGCATTCCGTGCGCCTTGGTGTTTAGTCATGCCGGCCACGTGACCATGGAAACATCTTCGGACAGCGCTGGCTCTTCGGCTTTGAAACGGAGATGAGCACCGCAACCCTAGAGTCGGATTCGACTGGCTTTCGAGCAAGGGAACCTTTACCTTTACCATGATGTACAGCAGGCTTAAAGCTACACAAGGCTACAGAACCAGACACCCCCAAAGAAGGAGCTGTTTTGCAGTGTACACCAGGGATCTGTTAAGTGTGTTCAGATGCTAGGCTATAATGTGAAGAATAAAAGAACAAAGAATCAACTAGTTTGTCATCATTAGCCCTGGCACAGGTGACCAAGAATGCAAAATGCTATGGCTACATATGTGCAAGTAACTCCATGAATAAAAACAGGTCCTGTTTCTGAGTAAACATAAAGGGACCAGCAGTAAGAGACTCAGCTGAGAAGCAGGAAATGCCAAGTTCAAATCTTACTTCTACCACAGACGTCAAGCCACCGTCTCTCATCCTTAGCCCCCCTCCCATCTGGAATATGAGGATAACAAGACTTACAGGGCTACTGTAAGAATTAGCAAAATAATGTACACAAAGCATTTTGAGTGCTGCATAAATGCAAAGTATTATTAGCCAGGCACAAAGCTATAAACTTCATGATCTTAAACATCCTGTTCTTAATTTCCTGCAAGCCAGCCAAGACTTGAGAGGAATGGAAGACAACAGAAACAACAAAGATGGGGGAGGGGGCAGAAAGAAAAGGAGAATACTTTAAACGGCAGGTGTGTAATTAGATGAGGCTAAAGACAACACACGAGACACATACTGCCCTCTGGTGAATGCAGGCTGAATATTGCCGCATGACTTCTCTGTTATTCACAAGTACTCATTTTTCCTCTACATTGTCAGAACACAAGCTGTAGTTTTCAAGTCATGTTTTCTACTCTGTGTTTTACGGCAACCAAAGAAAACAATAGATTCTACTTTGACAAGAAATGTCCAATGGTGGAATAACATATCACTGAAAAAATGGTTTCCGTATTTTTCCAAGTTAGTAGCAAAGCTGGGTATGCAACTACCTGTTGATGAGTAGTAGCTCCTGACAACATTTGTCCCCTCGGAGGGACAGAGAGGCTTAGTCCAAAACTTGACCTAGTGGACAGAAAAAGAAAAGAGCTGGCTGCAGCTGGGAAAATCTTCACATTTTACTAGGAATATGTATTCATGCCACCATTTATTCATTTATTCATAAATTCAAGTAATACAAAACGTAGGCATGCCTTTGAAAACAGACTGAAAACTTCAGGTGTTGCCAGAGTGTAGGATCACATACCATAGGGACAAGTAACTTCAGGCCGAGATCTTATGTGTGGCCCACAAAAGTTTTCTATCAACTCCTGCACAGTCCCTGATCCTAAGCACTGTCTCCCTCCTCCCAAACACAAATTAGTCACCTCAGCCACCTTCCTTTTCCCTAATTTTCAGGCACACAAAGGGCTCTTTAATCCAGTGAAATCAGTCCTTCCCTTATTATGCACCCTCAGCAGCTCACTCACAGTGAAGAGACAAGACTATGGGAATTAACAGCAAATCGCTGAGATGCCTAAAGGAAGCTTTCTATCAAGACTTTTGGGTGCTGTCCACAGAGGAACAACTGAAATTAAGCAATTCTTTGCTTGTTCCTTGGGATTCGTGTGGGAGTCAGTCACTGGACAAGCAGCGCTGCTGGCCCTCTAGTCCTGGCGAAGAAGAAGAAGAGAAAGAGGAAGAGGAAGAAGAGGAAGAGGAGGAAGAAGAGGAAGAAGAGGAAGAAAAGGAAGAAGAAGACGAAGAGGAAGAAGAGGAAGAAGAGGAAGAAGAAGAAGAAGCACAGCCCAATTTAAAAACCAACAAAGCACAGTGTGAAGAGGCCTCACACATACCTAGCCCTCCTGAAAACAGGTGAAGGGGAGACAGTGCAGGTTTTAACATCTTGTTGATTCTTTTTATGGTCTGCTTCTACCTGTCAACTTTTTTATGAAGACCAATTTAGGCTGCTAATTGTTTTATGCACGGGACTGTTATTAATGTCTGAGTTGTTGTTAGGATTTTATTGTATAGTTTTATTTCGTGGGCTATCTTGGGCAGGTCTCTCGACAGGCCCTTACAGATTTTCTAAACAAACACACACAGAATTTACAATTGTATCCTGAATGTGCAAGACATCTTCTATTGCAACTTCCAACTTCAGAGCAGATACTGCATTGTATTCTGTGTTTCCTTACTCATTTGGAAAAGAATATGAGAGTCAAGCTGGTACTTGAAATTGTGTCCTAAACATATGTACCAGACTTCCTTTGGACCTCAACATTTAAAGCTATCAGGTTACAAACAGGAAAAAATTATAAAAGCAGTAACGAATGATCAAGTTAAACCAAACACCTCATTTACTCAGCTAATTAGTAAATGGCCAAGGAAAGGCAGCCTGTGTTCATGCAACTGCACTAT